AATAACACTACTATACTGTATTAGTATACGTTATATGTATATATATAGTTATTGAGTGTACTTATTTAATCATAATTATGTCAATTGTTTTAAAATTATAATTTATACCAAATTTACATTATTTACATTAATTTTTATAAACATATATAATTATTTAAGAAAATAATTAAAATAAATTTATAAACTATGGGGAAGTATTTAGTACTTAGTACTATAGTATTTAGTATTTAGTATTACAACAATTAAGATATTATAATAATGCAGACTAGAAATTTATTAATTTAAATAAAGTACTTTATTTTATACAGTAGTTAGATATAGGCAAATATATATTTCCCTAAGAAAAATTCTAGAAAATTTCTATAGAAAGGTTTGTCAAAATATTAAATGAATAATATTGTGATGTATTGTTTTATATTGTGTTAAAACAAATTTTGGCCATTTAGTTTTTACTGTTACTTAATAAAATGACTTAATTTTATGATCAAACAATTAAAGAAAATTCATAAATAATTTAAACAAAATATTTTGCGGAAACAAATTAAAATTTAATTAAATTTTTTTATTTTTGTTTTTAAAATTTATTAATATATTATTCTATAAATATTCGCATATACAGGTATTTTATTTAATTATTGATTCATAATATACACTACACTACTATACAATTAATATTCCTATATATATATAATTAATAAATTTATATTAATATCAATATAAATTTTTTAAAATTTTATTTATAATTAAATTATTTTACAAATTTCTGTTTTTGTAAACTCTATTATTGCTAATAACGTGAAAACTTTTTATATTTTGTATAAATTGATAACAAAATTGTAGTTTTAATGTTTTTGAAGCATAAAATAGTACTTATAAATAAATATATTATTATACATTAGTAAATATTAATATCATAGAATAATAATAATATTTATATACTGTATAATAGTATTTTTCATATCATTAGTATGTGATGCATAAAATTGCAATTATTTTTAACGATACTATTTTCATGTTTACGATATTTAAGCTAAAATTTGAATACAAATAATCAATTTTTACTAAATTTTGTGTTTATAGAGAATCAAAAGATACCAATTAAAAAAATAATATATCAAACAATCTGTAAATGAAATAAATTTCAAATTAGATATTTTATTTTAGAAAATATGTAATATCATATATTGAATAAATAAAGTGTTTAATATGTTAATAGCACAATGATTTTAAAAAATAAAATTTATTTTAATTTTAATAGTAATTAGTAGTAAAATTTCGTATAACATTACTTGATTAATAAACATACCATTAATATTAATATAAACTTTATGATACATTATATATTTTGTATGTTATATTTTGTCGACCAATTTGTGTTTTAAAATTATAATAGTTTCTAATATATGATAAATATTTTCAAATATTAAATATAATTTAAATAGATTTACTTATTTTAACGATCTATTATATCTATATTGATGTTACTATTATAATTATACGGTATATTTTATAAATAAAACTGTTATAGTTATCTTATTTAAAAAAATATTCTACTGTATATATATATATACATAATACAGAATTAATTTGTATTATTGCTATAAATGCTGGAAAACAAATCTGTGTGTTTGCTATAGTTATACTATAGATTTGTTATTTGATAATATATTATAGACTGTATAATGTATATACAGGTATTATTGTATATATATATTTAAAAAAGATAAATAAGAATAGATACTGTATATATCATTCAGTATATATACAGTATGTCTATATATTCAGTATAGAAATACAAATGATATATACTTCTATCATATCTCAATAGATTTGTTTATTTTGTAAAACCAAATTAAGTAAATATCTTTTTTCAACATTATTTGTATTTATTTTTTTGCAAAAATCTTTAAATTGTTTTGAAATGGCTTTAAAAAACATTTAACTAAAAAAATTAAAATTAAATACATTGTTGATAAAAATATTTTTAATTAATTATTTAAGCTGTGCAATATTTAAAACATTTATATATTTGACTACTATTATAATAGATAAATAATCTGTGATTAAATATACTGTAATATAACAATCATCGTAATGATAAAACAATAACAATAACAAACATGATTTTTAATAACTGTTTTGTAGGAGTTATCTAATAATTCTCATATAATATATAGGAAATTAATATCTAAATACAGTATATGTTAATATTTTATTTTTCTATTGGTTAAATATACACAATAAAAAATGTATTTATACAAATACTAATGTATAATAAAAACTTACTGTGTTTATAAAACAAATCAACATTTTTATATTATAAATAATATATGATAAAAAAATTAAAATCCAATACAAAAATTATCATAATATTTACAATCTGAAAATCAAAACATATTTTTCAAAAAATAAATTTAAAAACATATAAACAGTAAAAATGTTTTCAAATTTTAAATCAGTGAGAAATACATTGTATACATACTGTATATACAATATACAGTATAACTAACTTTAATGTAATGCTTTACATCTACATAAAAATATGCCTCAGCTTTACTTATTATTTTTATAATTTAATAAAAATGCTGATATAGTATATCAATAATACAAAATACTTGTTATTTAAATTACATTATATTTATATGAAAAACAAATAGAAGAACTAGTAGTAGTAAATAAAGTATAAATATTATAATATATATAACTAATATTTATTTAATAGTTTAATGTAAAAATATAAGTTCAAAATTTTATTATATAATATATTGATAGAAATATACTAATATTTGTGAATATGTATATATAATAAATGTGAGAATATTAATTCATTAATTCAACAAAAACACTGTTTTATTTTATTTTAATATACTGTACATCATATATAGTATTTGTTTCAATTTTTAATCCACTAAAACATCGATTTATTATTATTATTACATAAAGAGAATTGAGCCTTACTTTACACTATTTAAAAAACATTACCTGTAATATCAGTCCTATAAATATTATTACACTATAGAAGTTTACTTGATGTGCAAATTTGAAAACATATTTTTAAAAATATTGCTTTTATTTTTTATATAATAAATATTTAATACACAATTCAGTATAAGAGTATATAAAAATTTCATATTATAAGCAAAAGATAAAATAAAATATTATACATAAAATCAGTGTTTACTTAAATCTTTTAATTTATTAGTAAATTATTTTAAATATTAATTATATAATTTTATTATTGAAAATTTGAAAATTTAGATTATAACTCATTCTTTTTAATGTAAAATTATAATAATTTTATCAAAAATAAATTATTGAAAATAATTATACTAATTACCATGTTTAAATAATTAATGTACTCTAAATGTAAATGTATGTAATTTTTAATTATTTAGTTTACACTATTTTGTTATGATTTGTTAATTTTTTAAATGAAAAACAATTGATAAATAATAATTATAGATATCATCAAATAGTTACAGTATATATTTCACGTTTATGTAATATTGAGATACGTTAAGATAAATTTAAAAATATAAATATTTGCAAATCAATAATAATTGAATATCAGAAAAAAACTAATTTATAGTATGATTATTTACAGTGATTTACTATAATATAATATAATATCTACAGTACATATGATACATCAATATCAATAACTAAATGTATGGTACTATACAGTTGCCTAATCAATTAACATCTCAATTTATTATAACAATGTATTATTTAACTTACCTTTTAATTTGTAAAATCGCAAATTATAATCAAATATAATATATTTATAGTAGACATTTATAGAACAGTTTACTACAGTAGTATTATTGTATCTACATTTATATATATTAATTTTATTTAACAAAAATTTAAATTATAATAATAAAAAATATCTATTAATAGTTATATAAGTAGAGTAAATTAATACATAAGTTATTCATTAGTAATCTGGTGTATGTGTTAATTAACAAACACGTTCAATGTTTTCAATGTATTCAATCTATTTTAATTATTACCAAATGAATTAAATGTTTAATTAGCAAAATTAACTCAATGACAACTGAGCTAATGTTATGACATAAACAATACATTGAATGTTAATTGTCAAAGTGTTACACAAAAATATTTATTATTAAAAATAAAGTTTACTCATTAATTCTAATGAATTTTAAAAACATTTTACAAATTAAATAAATTAAGTACAATAATAAATAACTTTAAAAATAAAAAATAGTAATTTTTATTTTATAAACATTTCACGATTTTTTTTATAAATTAATAATATTAGATTTATATACTAGTTATAATTTTAAACTATAATTTTATGTAATGTTAACAATTGAAATTAAATAAATTAAAGTATTTTTAAGACTATTTATGGGAAGACTATTATATATTTGCTTTACTATCAAACTAACAAAAAAATAGATTAGAAACAATTAATGGCACTTAAACTGTGAATTTATTTGTCAGTTGAGCTGTAGTTATAAACTATTTTTTTATTTGATATATTGATAAATTTGATTTGAAAAATATAAATCTTGTTCTCAATAATAGATAAAATAAAATTATTTCCAACAATAATAAATGATAAGTGATAAACGATAAGACAATCAAATAATAGTTTGTTACAAACAACATAAAGATTTATTATATTTCCAAATGTCTGTTAACACCAAATTGGATCATTAAACACATCATAACTATTAAATAAAAATATTAATTTTTATTTGAAAAATTAAATACTCTTTAGAGATATGTTTTGTTAATTTTAGTAACAGTTTGAAAACTATAAATTATTATAGTTAATAATATATATATAGTATACAATATCTATGGGTATAATATTGCTAAATAATTATGATATACATTGTATAATATTATTATATAAAAATGAGATTAAGTTTTTACATAACTACTACTAATAATAATACAGTAATAAGTAAGTACTGTATGACCTAATATTAATGATAATAATGTTTGTATATATTTGATTAACAAACCTATCAATAGCGACACAGCAAAGATGTAATATACTGGCCGTACAGCACATAACATCACAGGATATCCAGAAATGACAAGCAATGGTACCCCAGGGCCAGAACCGTATGAAATCATATATAATGGTAAATGGCATTACAAGACACGCCACTGTTATATCACTAAACGCCAAACTATGATAAAAATTAACATATTTATTATGGAAATTAATAACTTAATTAATACTCTTATAACTCTAAATAATACAATATTTTGAAAAACAATATTGATTAATGAAAAACTAGATTGTGAGCTAAAATTTACTTATTTTAATATATGTCAATTACTTATTTATATCTAAAAATTTTGTAATCTTATGGTATATAACAATTTCTAATAAATGTATATAAGATATATGACATACCTGGCCAATAATATATTGGTAACTGTTCTCATGCGATGAAACTTTGTGACCACAACAATGACAAGAACATTACCAACAATTGTCGTTATGATAATTAAAATACAAAGCAGTGCTCCAAACGAGCGAAACACTATCTCATATGTGGACACATCTTCTAGTAGGTGCTCCCTATCAAAGATCCTATTGAACCAGTTATGGTAGTGAATGTGATCCGCATTAATTGAGTTGGTTTTATCTAAGCTGTTATCAAACTCATAGAAAATTGAATCGTTGTTATCATTAATCAAATCATTTTGTGTAATCAATTCACTATTCATTGTTAAGTCTACAAAAAGTGATTGCATGTCTCACAATAAACTCAGATATTATTCATCGATATTTATATCTATAAAATACACAAATGTATAGATATATACAAAAAACAGTATATTAACAATGATTCGTAAATATTATGCGATGTTTTACTGATAAAAACTTTTTCCTGTTTGAAAAAAACATATTATAAAAAAATAGGAGAAACGGATCTAACGAGTGCCACATCGGACTTAGGGATCGGAGTGAACATCGATGAACACTTTAGGATCACTTCAACTATTCCTAAAACAACTGTTTCCTAATTTATTTAAGTATTATTTACTTTATTACTGAACTTTCTTTTTTTATAACACTCTTCTAAGCAATAAAACTCATTCACACACTGATGTGTCGGCAAAATTCAAGACAACTTTTGCTATACAACCGAAATCTGTTTGTCAAATGAGTTGATTACAGTATATTACAGACAGAGTTATATATGTTTTGATGCACAGACACATACACTCTATCTAACCATTCTTTCTATTAGAATATAGGAATTCTATGGCACAGTATTCTGGTATCTAAGCGCTTGAATCTCACAGAATCTGACAGTTTATTAAGTGATGTCATGACTGAGCATAGGATACCCCCTAATGTTAAAACAATGAATTAAATGATTGGATTTTTGTAATGATTTTTAAACATTACACTAAAAACTTTTTCTTTCTTTCTTTTGAATTATGATTTTGGCTATACATCCAAGCAATTAATTCATAGATATATTATATTTATATATAATATTTATATACAACTAATATTTTTTGCATGAAATTTATAATAAATTCAATGTAAGATTTCATCATTAGTTTGTTTTGCCAAACAATGGAAAGAGGCGTTTCACTCTTTTTTGGCGTAAAATTTATTTTAGTTGGTTTTATAACTTAATCAACATTCCTATTATAATACTACAGCAGATATAATAGATATTTGTGAACAAATGATAAAATATTAGTCACAGAGAAAAAGCACATAAACAATACATCAAAAAAGTTTTGAAAACGTTATTTTGAAATAGTCTATTGAAAAACTTGACTTTAATGCACAATTGAGTGCCTTATGACAATAGGGTCTGTCTTTTAATAGATTTGCTTTTACTGGCACTCATAATGACCCACATTGTAGTGTCAAACTAGGCTTTTGCCAAAATAGTCTGTTCCCAGAATATAATGTGTGGGCTATAAATAGACAAACATTATTAGCAAAAGTCCCCTAAAGGGTTAAATTCCAAAATTTTTCGGCACATGTATGCATTGGTGTCGGCACTTTCTACACATATTTGAAATATCAATCAAACCTATCATAATTTAAGTGTCAATTTGAAAGTCAACACCGGTGTACACATGAGATATAGCCTACTATTTTCATTACAGTATATGTTTTTCTCATTAGTTGAATAGTGCGGTCAATATTTGAAAATTGCTAAATACTACATACCTTATATTGTATTACATCTTACTATAGTATTATTGTTACTGTACTGTACTCTCAAGTATTTTTATGAATGACTTGTTTTATAACAAACCAAACATCCGAAACAATTTTTAAATCAATTAATTCATAGATACGATGTATTATTAATAACAATTATGTTAATACAACCTATATTTTTTTAATTTCGTTTTATTTGATTAATAAGTTATTAGTTTAATATATTTATTGAATTCATTATATGAAATTTGATATGATATATATAAATATTATCTATTATATTTGTATAATTATGAAGTAAATGCTTTTTTAATTTAATAAATTAAAAATAAATTATGAAAATAAGAGATCACAGCTTTTGTAATAAAATTAATGATTTACAATAAGTCTTCAATAATTGTTATTATAAATTATATCAAAATATAAAAATTAAAAGTATTAATAAAACTTGATTAAAAAGACATTTGAAGTGTCCTCTTATTAACTTATATTAAATCTAAACGTATATTAAGTCGACTTGATTTTAGATAACGGGGTTCTTATGTCTAATCAGTGTTGAGGTCGTCCTCGTAGTGATCCCGCAAATGTGCAAATAATTGTGCAATAAAATTGGTGGCAGAGATATAATCTCTTAGTAATAGGTAATCTCTCAAATTACGAAGTGATACTTCATTGACATCCCGATACTGATGAGACATAACGTTCCTCAAGATATCAGTGTTTGGCTGTATATTCTTAATATACATTCCCAGTTGTATTTCACATAACAATTGAAATAAATTATCTTTGAATTCGTTGACCACATTGTTTTTGATGACCTCATCCAACATCACTTGTTCCAAACCAATGGCAAAATACTGAACGAACTGATATGCTTTAATAAACGACTCGTCCAACTATAATGTAATCATTCAAAATCATATAAATTCAATTTTTTTTATTTGTTTGATTTGTTGCTCAGTTAGCTAATCAAATATATGTGTGCTTACAGTCATTTGTTGAAACACTTGTTCAGAAGTGACCGGAATTTCTGGCAGCCATTCCTGACGATACGTTTTGACCCCTTCTTCAAACTCAGAGTCAGGAAATGTCTTATTGAGCTTTAATTGTAATAAATATAAAAATAATTGTAAATTAAATATTATTTTCAATAAATAAGTGATAGTTGTATTAAAATTTATTAAAATTATTATTTGAAATAAATTCAATAATAAGATAAAAGTAGTTTAAAATTAGTCTTACAATTTTTATTAATATTTTTATAATGAAAATTAATTATAGCAAAAAAAATATAATAAAAGCAATTCACTACTGCATACAAAAGTGCATATTTTATTTATTAAATTATATATAATGTAAGATAATTGAAAAAACAAATAATATGAAACTTACAAAAATTTCTTTGACTTGTTGGCCATGATTTCTGGCAACTTTGGCTCTACTCATGACATTACGTAATAGTTCTTTGACGGGAACCGGAGGCGCACCAGCAAAGTCTTTGTCAGGATTTATAGGATGTGTCGGCAGTCGACACGGTTTTACCCATTTTGGTGATAAACTTAATGATAGTTTATGAGATGTTAATGACGATGACTGTTGCGGAGGACTGTTCACTGATTGAGAGTCACTTCTTATAGGAGATGCCATTGAAATGTTTATCGATGAGAAAAATACTATTAATAGTGTTAAGAGTAAAACCAACTGTTGGTTGTGTTGAGAATGTCTTAAAACATCAAACTCTGTAAATTAAATTCAAAAATATAAGTTATTTTGCTATAAATTTAATTTATTATAATTTATTTTTTAAATAATAAATATTAAAATATATAAAATTTTTAGACTTTTAACATGTAATATAATATTGTTTAATACAAACAAAATTACATCTTAAAAGTTGTTTAACAAGATTTATAGCATAATATAATTATATATAAAACAAGTGATGACATACTTGACATTTGATGGAAAGGACAAGTGATATGACTAGTGATGAGGATTTGATGACACTTAACGATTGTGCGGTATATGAATGCTTGCATTTGAATGAATTTCGACGCATAACACATGTTCATCATTTTGTATCAATTATTACATCAGATTTATATACAGATTAGGTATTAATTTATCATTTGTTTCATCAATTTAATTGTAACAAAAATATTTATAAGAATAACAAAATATATAATTGTAAACACTTTTTTGTTTTATATAGTGTGATGACATAACTTGTACTCAAATTGGACTTTTTCACGACACAGTGCATGTGATAATGTGCTACAAGTATTGGCACCTGACTTATACCTGATTAGTGCTCACTTTCTCTCTCACTGTTTCTATATATCTGTGATAATAAAAGCAAATACTGGTATTACTTTAGTTAAAAATACTTTAAATACTTCAAAAATCCCCGGCAAAAGAAGTGGGGGCTTTAGGGAGGAGATTAGTGGCGAACCGGGAGTTACACCGATGCCATGACACGTACGCATTGCGCTCTAACTAATGTTACCCTCAAACAACCAGTTTTATACTACCGGTAAATATAATAATAATCATAATAATTATTATTATTATATACATGCAGTAATGTATATAATTGGCATCAATACGTCAATAGTATTTTAATTAAATGTATAACTAAGTAGATCTAAATAGCTTCTTATATTTATCCGATACAAACCATACTTTTTAATTTTGATGCAATAAAGTACTGTATAATCAAATGAAAATGATTTACTTTTTAATTTTATCATATATTTACAATTTTGAGTTGATCTATTGAATATATACTATATGATAAATTTATCTTTAAAATACTATACTGTAGTATAATTAACAAACTGTAGGTTGTTTTTGAATGTATGGCCAATAAATTATGAATTTCTAAACCCATAATGTATTGAAAGGGTTTTTAGATAAAAATGATTTACTTTAGACCACAGAACAGTCACTATTCCCAGTAGTCGTATAGACTTTAGTATAAATAAAGCAATGATTAAACACATAAACAATTTGAAATATTTATTAACATTTGACATTAGTATTATCAATAATATATGACAAACATTACAACAATGCATTTTCTTAAAATGCTTCAATTCTTATCATTAATGAATTAAAATTTATTAATCTATTTAAATAAAACTATTTATGTATTTAAAACATTCAAATCAATGAATTAATTTGTTTTAAATACACGTACATAGCATTGGTTGTATTGCTTAGATGTGATGAAATACATGTAACCCCTTGAATATGCCCTCAACACATGTTTTTTCTAATTTAACAATACTTTACCTAAAGTTATAAACTTTATTTTTTTTAAGTTAACATAACTTTATTCAATGATTTATATAACAAATTATAACTTATTTAATTTATGTCTATATAATATTTATATTTTATATAAATGTCATTGTTTTATTGTTAGATTGTTTTATGTTGAAAAATAAATGAATATTTGATTTGTATTTTCCCAGATAATCAAATAACAGTTTATTATACATTTATTATCATTAAATCAGACAATAATAATATTATGTTAGAGGACGGACTTATGAAAAATAAGTTATAATGCGTTGTTTAATAAATAAATAAATAAAAAATAAATAATTGTTTTGAATATACAATATGAAACTGTCTGTAATTGTGTAATAATGTATGTATTATTTTAACAATTTTAAGTAGTAACACAATATTTAATAAAACAAATTAACAATAAAATATTTTATAATACTATTACAGTATTATTATTATATGGATATTAAAATAGTCATATTTGGCAGTCGATTTATAATTATAATTTGTTAAATATATAATAATAATAAAGAAACTTCCTTTCATTCAAATCTAAAATTGTTTGATTAATTGTTATTTAATCAAACATAGGATACATTAAAATTATTATTCAAATCATGGTATTTGTCAAAAATTAGTTTCTATAATTAAATCCAGAAACAATCATATTTGGACTCTAATATCGTATACATTATTATTGATACTATTTGTAGTAATTTAAATAAAATTATTATGAAATTATATATATCATATATAAATATTATTTATGAATTATAATTATAAAAACAAATGAATTTTTAAATTAAATAAATTACAAATAAATTAGGCATAAGAGATCACAGATTTCATAATAATAATAAAAAATAATTTATGTTTTTTTCAATTTTTATAAATATAACATTAAATATTATGAGATAAATAACATAACATTTGGCGACAAAACATAAGCATAAAAATGCCATTGAATTTGTCCCATGAGTTAACATATTAAAGCCGAACACATGTTTGGTTCAAATGAGAGATAGATTTCGTTTTCTTATGTTTCACCCGAATTGGGTTCGCGATAGTGAGCCCTCATATATGCGTACAACTGGGCAATGAAATTAGTGGCTGAGATATAGTCTCTTAATATTAGATAATCTCGAAGATTACGGAGTGAGGCCTCATTAATATCCCGGTACTGATGAGACATAACGTGCCGCAAGATGTCGGCCTTTGGCTCAATATTCTTGATATGCATTCCCAGTTGTATTTCACATAATAACTGGAACAGATCGTATTCAATGTCTTTAAATTCGGTGACCATCTTTCCATCGTGAAGCACCTGATCCAATAGGATCTGCTCTAAACCAACAGCGAAGTACTGGATATACTCATAAGCCGTGGAAAACGATTCGCTTAACTAATAATAATAAGTTTTAATTATTACTTTAAATATAATTTATTCTTTTATGTAATATATATTTTATAACAGAGTTAAGATAAGGGTGGAAAATAAAGTTATTTACCCCCACCCACCCCTCCTGATCCTGAAATCAAAATTTTTCTATTTTACCTCAAACTTATTGATATAATTGAGAATAAAAGAATAGTATTAATTTATTTAATTAAATTATGTATTTGTAACGCATTGGTTGTTGAAGTTTTAAACACTGTTAAAATTGCAATTTAACAAGTTTTAGATAAGATAACAAACTAGCCCTAACCTCCCGTTCCTTCCCTTCCCACAAACCACTTCCTAACCCTCCACACCCACCCCAACCTAACCTAAATAAAGTAATAAAATAGTACTGCATTTGTTATAAACAATGTGTTTGAAACTTCAACAACAAATGCATTACATTTACTAAACTTTAGCCTAAAAAGAAATTGACCACAAATTTAGAAAATTTAATAAAATTAATAATTAGTTTTTATTATACACTGACTTAAATTATTGTAATTAAGAAATAAGAATTTTTAAATTTTTGTTAAATATTAAGAATTTCTATTTAGAAAATTTTAAGGAATATTAGGAAATTTTTGGAAATTTGTCGCTTAAAATTGCAATATAATTGCAGTTTCAAGTCTATATCCAACCCAATACATCCCTCAAAATTTGTCAATATTTTTGTCACTTTAGTGGACACAATATCATACATGAAATCAAAACCCTTTCTTAACCCTTATATATAAATTTATTTCTTACAGTCATTTGTTGAAACACTTGTTCAGAAGTGACCGGAATTTCTGGCAGCCATTCCTGACGATACGTTTTGACCCCTTCTTCAAACTCCGGGTCAGGAAATGTATTATTAAGCTATCATTTGAAGCAATAAAAGAAAAAAATGTAAATCATTTTAAATTGTTCATTGTTTTTAAAGTTATAGTTTTTTTTGTTTAGTTTGGTTTTTAAATACTTATTTACTTTAAAATTATTTACAGTTTAATACAATTTAAAAAATAAGCCGACAAAACAAAGTACTTGGAAAAACATATGTGATTTTGTAAAAATATAGTATTTAAGTATTATATAAATTATTATATAAAAACTAATAATTTATGATAAAAAACAATTTATAAATTCTTGTAATATTATGAATCATTACATACAACGAACTCATAGAGCGTTAAGTCAAATGAGTAACTGTTTTTTCCATTGAATCCATTGAATAACTATAACGTTATGTACAGTATGTAAACCCTAATTGAATTTACTAACTGATTAGTATTGATAGTACAAAAGCCTTGGTGTAAATGCACTAAATATGCTATGAATTACATATTATTACAATAAAGTCTCGTAATATCACATAATTTTTTAATTACTGTTTTGATCACCTGTTTTAATGAACAGTTATGGCTAACTTTTTTTTGTTAATATAATGTATTTATTACATTTATTTAATATATAAATACTGTTTATGAAATTAATTTTCATACAATATTTTTAAGTTTATGTGATAGACTGTACGTTAACATAAAGCCTTGGTGTATACTGTACTGTACTGTACTGTATATAATGCATTAAATATTGTATAAGTATTGCCTATCTTGTCATTATAAGAACTAACGCCTACAACAAATATTTATACATTAATTGATTGTTTAATTTTTTTTAATATTATTGACATTAATATTTTAAAATCTAATTATTAACTAATGTTAACTAGATTAAAAACTAAATTTATGAAATACATTATAAAATACATTAAACACAATTAAAATAAAAAATTAATTAAAATATAATTATAAAACAAAAAATAAAAATTTTATTAATAATCATTTACTTTTAAGATATAAAATCATGTTATATATATATGACATATATATAATATAAACTATTATGCAAAACTAAGATATAATATCAAAAATAATATTTAACATAAATATTATAAAATTATGTGAAAATAATAATATATTTTTGCTACTATTAGTGACCAACTGAACCCTCATATAAACATACATTTCAGTGAAATATTGTAAACTATTTCACTACAAATGAGTCATCAAATATCTATCAAATAGTTTTACAATTAATAATAGCATAAGAATACCTGTATATTATAAAGCAAAATACCTTACAGTATATACTGTATATATAGTACTATATTTTGTTTTTCAAATAACTATTCAATACAAAACAATGTACTGTAAGGTTATATTGAATTTAGATATTAAGTGTATTTCAATGTATATTTTGTGAGAACGAGAGGGTGAATGTGAGTTAATCATTGATAGAGTCATAAAAAAGTTTTTTTATGATTATGTGTTATCAATCAAACCATATGTATTACATACTTGTTATATCTTAGTGCGGATCACTTATAATCTAATTAATAGTCAAAACTTTATTTATTATTATCTTATATTTTATTGTATAAACAATTATTAAGGCACCAACTAACCAACTAAATAAATAAAAATACCTAAAATTTGATATAAAAATTGTTTAAATACGATATTTTATATTTTTTGAGAAAGTTATTTATTGATAATAATGAGTTGTTTTGTTTAAGACTGGAGATTAAATTATGAAATTATTACAATGTGTCGGTCGGATCTCTAATATAAAAGCTATTGTCATAATAATAATATAGTCGTAAAAATAATAAAATCTAAAAATAATGTATTTGACGCAAATGTAATTTTTAATATAATTTATTTATTGATAAAAATTAATACATTTATAACTATATAGAGTTGAAAGGAAGCGCTGCATAAATTTTATTAATAACTCAATTTTCAATATTTTTTGTGTAAATTAAATTTTAATTATATATTTTAACTAGACTAAATTTCAATTTAAATTTTTAAAAGCATTACTAATTTAATTAACTCAATTTTAATTTGCATTAAAATATAAATATTATCAAAAAAATTATTATTTAAAAAAAATAAGTTAAGTAAAAAAACTTTAAATAAATGTATAGTCACGTTGTGATTCAAGACTAATATAAATATATTATTGAAAACTTTTTATATAACTCTAAACTCACTTTATATACATTTATATACTGTGTTATATTTATTGCATCACAACTGGCAATCAAAACATACATCATATCCGCAATGTTAGCTATGATTGAATAATTTCACTTAATTTCATTGCAGTGTAGAAAACACAATAAAATACAGTAATAATACATTATATAAGCTTATAGTGTATTATTAAATACTGTACAATACGAGTATAACTAACGTCAATACACATAAACTATCTATAGTTAGGAACTTTAACTCTAAACAGACTAATAAATTGGTGTTAAAATGTTATAACTTATAACTAATAATAGTATAATTAATGACAATTAGAATAAAATACGTAAACAAATAAAATTAACTAAATATAAAAAATTAAAATATAAACTGTTATATAAACTTACAAAAATTTCTTTGACTTGTTGGCCATGATTTCTGGCAACTTTGGCTCTACTCATGACATTACGTAATAGTTCTTTGACGGGAACCGGAGGCGCACCAGCAAAGTCTTTGTCAGGATTTATAGGATGTGTCGGCAGTCGACAAGGATTCACCCATTTTGGTGATGAACTTATTGATAGTCTACGAGATGATGAAGAACGATGTGGCGAACCATTAGGTGATTGTCGTGATTGAGATGAGTCACCTCTGATAGGAGRTGCCATTGAAATGTTTATCGATGAGAAAAATACTATTAATAGTGTTAAGAGTAAAACCAACTGTTGGTTGTGTTGTAGAGATTGCTTTAAAACAACAAATTCTGTGATTAAATAATAAAAACAAATTATTAGAACTATTTTTTCTAAAACAAAATTCTTAAACAAATAAAAAATTATTAGTTTCGACATTATATGATATAACAATATACTATATAATAGATATTATATAACTTTTGACAATAAAAAGTTGAGTAACTAATTATATTTTATGTGTATAACATAGCCAGTGATGACATACTTGACATTTGATGGAAAGGACAAGTGATATGACTAGTGATGAGGATTTGATGACACTTAACGATTGTGCGGTATATGAATGCTTGCATTTGAATAAAGCTCGACGCGTAACACATGTTCATCATTTTGTATCAATTATTACATCAATTTTATTATAATAAAAATAAACTTTTTTTTTTGTCAAACTATTAGTCGGACCATAAGTAGATCAGATAACAATTGTTTAGAGAAATATGACAACAGTTTATACACTCGTGTAATACTATGATATAACTTTGAATACATAAGTAGGGACTTTGACGCTAATATATATGATATTATCTATACTATTGGCAACTGAATTGTATCAGATTAGTAGTCTCACTCTCTTTCACTTACTTAAAGATTGTGACAAAACAATACTGACAACAACATAATAAATAGCAAACACCGGCATTAGTTTGGTTTAAGTACTTCAAAAATCCCCGGTAAAAAAGTGGGGGCTTTGGGGGAGGGGATTAGTGGTGAACCTGGAGTTACGCCGATGCGATGATATGTTACGTATTGTATTAGCTATATACCGGTGCAAGTCATACACTGTGGTGGTGTGTGTGTGTCTATGCTTGAGTGTCGGCGCTTTACAATAATAAACATTAAACACCAAACACCACCACCACAAACATTGCATAGTATAAGCAGTGAAAACACACACACACACACACACACACACACACACACACACACACACACACACAGAGAGAGAGAGAGAGAGAGAGAGAGAGAGAGAGAGAGAGAGAGAGAGAGAGATTGTACCAAAAGCACTGGTAGCCACAAAGGAGTGCTCCCAGTCCTGGTACTGATGACGACCCGTACGTCACTGCAATCGGAAACAATACTTCCGTAAGAAATTCCTTTAGCCTTTCTCTCAAATTACTTACCGATGAGTCCTCACATTTATACTATCTTTTTAATACATTGTTTTCATATTTTACTCTTATATGGTTTATAAGGGACTGTTAAAGTATGTTAGTATAGGGAAAAAGTTAATAATAATAATAAAATTGGAGTTGTCTTAGTTGAATTGCAATTATTTTTATGAATAATTGTTGCTATATTTGTATCAAATATACAATATTTTTGTGTGTTTAGGTTATATGATAGACATTGAATGTATTGTCATGGCTTGTGCTATGAAGTCAAAGGTTATTATGTATTGTTATGTATTGATTGTATACATACAATGGTACATGGTACATTATTGTATCTAATGTTAACAATGGATATTATTTTTTTGTGTCCCCAAAAATACCAGCATTGCGTTGGCGTTGATGTACATTAAATATCACAAATGTGTATCATATCATCATATCTACTATACATTTCTTGTTTCAATGTCTATGCAATTGTTTCCTAAAGACAGTCTATTGGAGACACAATAATTCATACAATAGCATGAAGTTATGCTCCAAATAGTCATTCGCCTACTCATTACTCTCAATGATCTCCCTTTCTCTCTCTCTCTCTCTCTCTCTCTCTCTCTCTCTCTCTCTCTCTCACACACACACACACACACACACACAAAACACACACACACACACACATACATACATACATACATACATACATACATACATACATACATACACACACACACACACACACACACACACACACACACACACACACACACACACTAAGTTCAATACAGTCACTTGAGATGTACAGTAAAAAACTTAAACGATTTTCTAAGAAGACAAAGCCATCAATTTTGCTTATTTTCTTCACTATTTCTATCAAACGCTTAATTATTTTCTCTTAAATAAATGCTAACCATTTGCTTATGTATAGCTAACTAATGTTGCGTTTGTTGTCCATCAACTATACAGATCTATCAACATATACAATACATTGGCCAGTATTTCAAACTAAATAACATTTAGTAAAAATTATTTTTTAAAACTTACTAAAATTGTAATTTATATACGTTTTATTGACTTTGAAATTGCATTTTATTTCATTTTAAAACAAAGAATTAAATCTATTATATCTAAAGATATTAGTATTATTATTATCCAATGACTATAAATTAAATACAATAATATTAGCTAACGACTAGAGATAACCCAAGGATGTACAGTACTGTACTCAATATGAAATTAATGGCCAACTAATCGGCCCAAACATTGAAATAGTTTTCTTGGATTTCTTTGATTCATATCATTAAACACACCAAACAATCATTATTATAGTCATCACATCCTCAAAAAAACCAACACTTTTTTTTATTTCACTCTATCTATAAATAAATGCTTTTACTATTATTATATTTCATAATAAATTGTTTATAAAATAATGTTTTAAAATATAAATAGTAACTCATAACGAAATGCCATATAAATGCTATATTACACATGTTATAAATAGCATTGTATTGTATTGTTATTGAATAATAGGTGCACAGGTATTAGTGGGATTGCCCATTATTACCACATATTTTTTAATACATGTTTTTCTTATATAATTTTAATAGATATTTATAGTATTATTAGGGGAACTACAGTTTAAATTTATAAATTAAACTTTTTAAACAACTTATCTAATATTTATTAATTATTAATGAGTTGATGTCTGCAACAGTTACTGATTGATACCTGAGTTTGTATTTAAAAATTAATAATAATTATATATATGCTAATATATACATGTGAAAGATACTGTATATTATAAGTAGACTTTCCATACCTAGCTAAATAACTTAAAGTGAAATAACTCAAAAAAATAATATATTGTTTCACCTTTTTTTCCTAATAATAACTAATATTTTCACAAAATTTTAAAAATATAGTATAAATATAACGTAATAAATTTTTTAAATTATAGTTCTATAAAATTATTATTAATTATAAAAATAACAAAAATTATAAAAAAAAATTAGTATTAACATAAAACAATGTTATTATTGTAATATTTTACTTTAAATTTATACAATATTATAATTTATAAATATATAATTATTAATTTAATAGAAATACAATATTAAATCAATTACTTTACAAAAATAATTATATTAAAATTAAATTGTTTATAGATAAAAAGGATAACAAATAATTATTCAAATATTTGTTTTTATATTAACTATATTTCCAAAGTATACTTAGGAAATTACTTGATTTGATTGCAATAACAATTTTTTATAATTTTTTACTCTATATTTTCAAACAAACTTAAAAAGGTTGTTTTCTGGAATCTATATGTGTGTGTGTTTATGTCTGTGTCTGTGTGTAGCATTTCATTTTGCGAATTTTAAAGTTCTGACTTCAGATTCGGTTATAAAATTACTAATAATGATCTATCTATTCAGGACCATGGTCAAAATGGCGTATAACAAAAAAAATCATAACTTTTTAACCGTAATAGATAAAAATGTGGATTCTTTACTATACTATATAGAATAAAATGGAGTACGGAATATATTAATGACAACTTTGTACTTTATGGTAAAATAGGGTAAATACCTGATAAGCCTTTTTAAAAACAAAAATTTGAAAATTGTTGATAACTCAGACAAAAACATACTTATATTGTTTGTATTACCTGAGCCTATAGTAGACAACAATAGAAATTATTTGGGAGTATTTATTGATTTTTAGCGCCATTCTGTAATTTTTTAGAACTTTTGAAAAATGAAAATTTTATATCACTATATACACAGCAGTAAATATTTAGGTTATAATATATCTTATATAAACTAATGGTTATAATCCTATTTATATTTGTCATTAAAATTAGTTTTTGGCAATGCTATCTAACAAATCCATAATATAGTAATTTCTTATTCCACCAGTTTTTAGTTTTAATATAATTAGTTATGATATTAAACGATAAAAATATGTCCAAATATTTTTTTTATTTACAATTACAAAAAAATATTACCGGAATTCACGCTAACGCGGATCAAAGCAATAATCTATTTATTATTATTGTTAATATACCTGCATTTTACATACCTGTATTGCATTTTGTAAATTAAAATAATTTCCGATATCTAAACATCAAATGATTTAATATAAAAAGTATAAAAAATTATTATACAATTTTAATTATATAGTGTATGTGTTCTGTAC